TTTTTTTTTTTTTCTCGTCGAGTCAAATCCCCTATTAATATAGAATCCCAACCTTTTCACGCTCCTAGCTGTAGCTGATGATGTGCTAGCTCCAGCGGCTGGTCTCCTACACATCCTACGAGCACTAGTGGCGCCAACCACAGCTTCCCTCCTTGGAACCTGAAAGTAACACCAGGGAATAAGAAACAAAGAAAAGCCCAGAATTGTTCATCTGGGAAACCTTCAACATTGACGACTAAATGCACAAAATTGGTGAAATAGAAAAAGGGGTAAAGAAATGGACCTGACGATCTTCTTTGTGTTCCTGAGGTGATCGCGAATCCAGCCGGCGTTTCCATAGATACAATCGGCTTCCTCACAGGGTAGTAGCAGGGCCACAAGCGCGTCCAAGATGGACGAGGTGAGTGAGGTTGCTAAAATGCCAGATCTGGGTTTGAGAGAAGAAGAAGGGAGAAGAAAGAGAAAGAAAGAATAAGAAGAAGAAAAAAGAAGGATGAGGAGGGAGGAGGAAAGGAGGGAGGAGGAAAGGAGGAAGAAGATGAAGTTTGAGGGAGAACCCAGATCTGGTTTGTAGAGGTAAAGGAAAAGGAGAGAGAAAGTGAAAGAGGAAGAAGAAATGACGTGACGAAAAAAAAATATTATTTTAAAATTAAATAAAAATGCCAATTAATGCCAACTCATAGGTTAATTATGATTTTTTTTTCCCATGTCATTAGTTAAGCAAAAAATGCATTGATTTGCTAACAAGTTAACGTCGCACCTGTCATTTAATTAATGGAATAACTGTTTGGGTATTGAAAATAAAAATTTAAGGATAATTTTAATATTTTTTAAAATTGAGGGACAATTTTGATGCTAAAGTGAAAAGTTAAGGAATCAAAATGGTACTTTAACCTATTAAAAAATAATTTTTCGTAAGTAGCAGTAAGACTGGTTAGTGGAAAAGGCCAAAAACATAAAATTGGACAGCTTATAAAAATAAGAAATACAGACTAAATTTGGATCAATTTATTAAAGTTTCAGTTTAATATAATTGTGATTTTTTATTTTAATTTAGTTTTAATAAATTTTATAATTATTAAAATTAAAAATTAAAAATAAAAATTTAATAATTTATTTAAAATAGGTTTTCACATGGATAAAAAAAATATAAATTTATTTAATAATGTTAAAATTGTTTTTATTATTATTTTTAAAAAAAAACATCATAATATGTTACAAAAATAAATAAAAGTAAATTAATTTTTAATTTGAAATTACAAAATTTATAAAAACTATAACAAAAGACTAAAAATTATAACTATATTAAATAAAGCTAATTTCTTTTTCAAATGGATCAATTGAATTTTTTTTGGCCGAAACTGGCTCAATTCATTAAACCGTGTTCATTTACCAAAAATAAAAAACTTGATTAAACGGTGGTCAAGGTCCGATTGTAATTTCGTGTTAAAATTAAATAAGGTAATTTAAAAATTGGTAAGAGACCTAAATAGTCCCTAAACTTTAAATGTACACCAATTTGGTTCCTGAACTTCCAAAAATGCATGGTTAAAACCTCATTTTGGTCATCTATTTTAACAAAAAAAAAATTAGCCTTTCATCTTAAGAATATCCCTTTTTAGTCTTTCTACTTAAGAAAACCTCTTTTTAGTTTCTAAAATTTATTATCTACTCCTTTTTAATCCTTTTGTTATCTTTTTGCATACACTACTAAAATTTTGTTTTTTAGCAACTAACTATCAACAATATGGAATTGCTTGTTGCTGATATAAGTTTTCACCAACAAAGCCAATGTTGCTAATAGCTTATCGTACATTGCCTACCCAAAAAGTAAGCTTCACTTTCAGCAACAAGGCATATGTTGCTCACAGTGAACATGGCATACATTGCTGATGGCTCTATGGTACAAATTCCAATCAAAAAGTTAGTTCCACTTTCAGCAACATACCCCTTGTTGCTGAAATTCAATTTTAGCAACAAGGCATACATTGCTAATGGCTCTATGGTACAAATTCCAGTCAAAAAGTTAGTTCCACTTTCAACAACAAGCACCATGTTGCTGAAATTTTCCAGTGGCCTCCAACATTAGCAACATGGATTAAGTTGCTGATGTTATATATATCAACAACATAATCCATGTTGCTATTATTCATTGACCAGTAGCTAACCTTCCTAAACACTAATAAGCAACATGATAAGTATGTTGGTGAAAGCTCCATCACCCACTATATATATACATCTTTCTTATGCCAATATATACACACCTTCCACACTTTTTTAATTTCTTGCTATTTTTCCCTTACTCTTTCAACTCAATTCACTTTTTTCATCCCCACATAATTATTTTTATATTTTAATTTACAAATAGTTACTTTTATAAATTTCAAAACTCTTTTGTCTTTTGCTTAATGGATAGTCAAGACTACTTTGACAGTTTAATGGAAAGTCAAGAATACTTTGACGACTTAATGGAAAGTCAAGAATATTTTGACAGCCAATGTGATGGTATCTTTTTTTTTTTTTTTTTTCTTTCCTTCCCTTATTTCTCATTTCACATTGGTGCACACCATTTACTACCATATTACGTAATTTTATATAATTTTACACAGGAATAGTTGAGGATACTCCTAAATCAATTTGGAATTGCCCGTCTCAGAGTCCTCCTAGTGGGAAGTTGAAAAAAGTAAGAGAGTGAGGAACATCCTGTTGCAGGTCAGAGTCAAATCTATAAAAATAGAGTCGACTCTTTGGTATTAAAGAGTTGAATCTAAAATAATAAAGTCGACTATTAGGCCTTCAAGAATCAACTATAGATGGTCAAAATTCGGCTCCCAAATTTTAGAGAGTTGGGAACATCCTACTACAAGTTAGAGTTGACTCTATAAATAGAGAGTCGACTCTTTGTGTTAAAGAGTCGAATCTATAGTATTAGAATCGACTTTAAAGCCTTAAAGAATCGACTATAGAGGGTCAAAATTCGAATCCCAAATTCTAGAGGGTCAAAAACATTCTGCGCAAGTCAGAATCGACTCTCCAAAAATAGAGTCGATTCTTACATAGTAAAGAATCGATTGTAAGTATCTAAATTTGACTTTAAAGCCTTCAAGAGTCGACTATAGGGTGTCAACATTCGACTCCCAAATTCCAGAAAGAAGAGAACATTATGGGTTTTGGGTATAGTCGACTTTGTTTTGTGAGAGTTGACTTTTTTGGCTAAATAATCGACTCTTTGTGGAGAAGAGCCGACTTTTACATTAAAAAATCTACTATTCACCAAAATTACAATAATAGTTTGTGAAATATCTATGTAACTCATATGCATGTCCGCATATTTTTATTTTAAATAAAATAGAGTTTAAAATTATTTAAATATGTTAATAACTAACATAAATATATTAATTAATTTGTCATGTGTTAAATAAAATTTAATAGATGAAATCAAACTAACTAATAAATTAAATTTATTTATAAAAATGAATTTTTTAAAGATTAGGAATTATTTAAAATATAATAATTTTAATCATTTTGGTGGTGAGGCAGGAGTGATTCTCATTTCAAATTTTAGCAACATGATATACGTTGGTGATGAAGAGTGAGGTTCAAATTCAAATGGCTTTTAGCAATATGGTCTAAGATGTTGATAGGGGGTAAACTTTCAGCAACAAGGGCTATATTGCTAAAAGTTCTTTATAGACCCCACCATCTCCATGAATTTTGCAATTCCTCCTTCTGCAAGCCTAGCTTCCTTCTTCGTGTGGCTTGCTGCAACTTCCTCTGCTCCGTGCACCTCTCAACCTATTTTTTTTTTCTATTACCACATGTATTCTGCAATTCTCCTCCCGCAAGCCTAGCTTCCTTCTCCTTGCGCGGCCTGCTACAACGTCCTTAGATCCGCATGCCTCTCAACTAGCCTCTTTTTTTTTTTCTTTCTAGTAGCATATGTATTAGGCAATTCTCAATCTACATGCCTTCCTTCTCCTCGTGCAGCCTACTGCAAATGGGTGAAGATACATGCGCCTCTCCATTTCTTTTTTTTTTTTTCTCTGTTAACACATGTAATCCATATGTATATATATATCAATAATTGAATAAATTCCATCAATTTCCTTTAAGCATATTTAAATTATATTTTTGTAAATATTACATTATTAAGTTGATATCAATTTACTTGAAAGTTAATATATTTATAAATAATTATATATAGTAATTAACAATTTTGTTATTTTATTTGATTTGTATGTAATTCTTAATAAAATAAAATTTAAGTTTGCTAAAATACATAACCATACATTAATCAACTTATGTTATTTAATTTAAATTAATTAAGTTAAACTTAATAAATATTTAATATTTAGTTATAATTTTTTTTAATTATATGTATAAATAATTAGCAACAATGCGTAGGTTGCTAAAAATGTGGGCGGAAGTATGCAAATAAATATCAGCAACATAGTGCTTCTTGATAAAAGTTGAAAATCAACAACAAGGTATATACGTTGCTAAAAACTAGGGGATATACTTTTCTTTCTTGAACTTTTAGCAATATGGCTCTTGTTGCTGAAAATGGGGTCAAAACAAGGCATATGTTGCTGAAAAGTGGAAAACCACCATATTCCCTAAACTTTTAGCAACAAAAGCCATGTTGCTGAAACCATATTTTCAGCAACATGGCTTTTGTTACTGAAAATGGTGGAATAAACTCCAACACTAGTCACAGAAATCCAACAAAGAATATTACCAACATAAATCACGTTGCTAAAAGTACATTTTCAGCAATAAAGGGTATATTGCTGATACATCAGTAACGAAATAGTTGCTGCTGATGTATCAGCCACCAAAACTTTTTCAACAAAACTACGTTGCTAAAAGGCTTTTACCAACATTGTTAACATGCCAAAATTGATGGAGTTGCCATTTATCCAAATGGGATGGGATAGATCACTAAGGTCTACATAGAAATTAATTAGGCTCCGAGGATCGGTTAAGTGTGGGAAATGTGT